ATTCACGCTATCACCAGTCCCCTTGTACATATGGAGCTTCCATGACAAAATAAAAAAAATCAGATGAACATCGCGCGTTGACACACATTCATAGAATGGCTCAAACTAACTATAACTAAAGGTATGGCTGCGGTGACACGACTCTTGGACCTATCATGTCCATGGCCACGAGAGACGCCATGACCATGGCCACCGCGAAGGCCAACTACAGGGCCACCACCAAGGCCTTGCCCATGGTCAACTACATGACCATATCTAACACCGTGGCAGAATGTGTGTAATGCAGTGTGGTTGTCATGCATGGCGTGGAAATACTCATCGATGTTGTCGTGCCAGGCCAACCATCCCTCTTCGTTGACACCCCGGGCACGGGAACCAAAATCTGCTCCTCCACCTCTGCTAATATATGGTCAAGCTCCTCCATGGCCAGGTCCATCTGTGCAGCCTCCTCCATGGCATGGTCCCTCTTTTCCCACAAGTTAGTGGAATCATCCGTTGGTTGTTCATCCTAATCGTCATCCCCAAAATTGAAGATGAGGGGGGTGTTCAATTGGGTGTGCCATCAGTATAGAAGTGAATAGTCGATTGGAGAGGCATATGGCGGTGGATCGACTAAGTGCTCCACCAAGTGCTCCATTTATAGGCCACCAGCCCAACACACGTGCAATTAAGGAGGTGGTTTCAAAGGTGACAAGCGGCCAGCTAGAGTCAGCCAAAGGGCGAGTCTCTTATGTGTGGGAGTTCGTGCAACTTTAAAACCCCGCCATGGAGCAAGAAGGAAGAAGGTGAAATTATGTTACACAATTGAGTCCTATAAGTACACGCCATACGTTGGCTGACATGTGGGCCCACAACATACGTAAAGTCCCACCACCTTCGAAAAACCCCACTCCCCTTCTTCCTCACTCGCACTGCACCTTGCTAGACGCACCTCCTCATTCACAACTCCGCCCGGATCCCTCAACTCGATGCCCCTCGTGGTCGATTGTCGCCGCAGGCTGCATTCGCCGACAAACGCCACTGCCTTTCGCTTCTGCCCCTCGTTGTATCCTATCGGCACCGACTATCGCTAGCATTGCTTGCTATTGACCCACCTCTTCCCTATTAGGTTTTCTCATGGAGAACTAGGTAAGTGAAATCCTCATCAATCTCTTATAGTTTGTAGCCCACCTTTCACTGGTAATCCCCTGACGCCAATCGTCATGCATGCATTTCTCTTAAGTATGCTTCGAGGGTTTTCATTCGTAGTGCCCAAAGTGCCAGGACACAAGAGGTCTATATGCCCTCGGCCAAACGACCGAGCTGTTCAATCTCACCCTACCATAGGACTTCTGTAATCGCACAATATGTTCTTCAACAAGACATGGGCTAATCTTTCCTATTTAGTACTAATCTGAATGTAGCAGAACTGATGCGGAGTCAAATAGTTGATGATTTGGTAAGAACTGCACAGGTCTACTTTTGGACAAATTAGGAATACTTGTTACTTTACAAATATAGTATTGCTACATTTGGATGAAAGGTGCCATGCATGATGACAAAGAGGAAAGTCTTGCTATATTAGGCAAATTATCGTTCTACTATTCTTTTAAACACGCTCGTATTTGCAAACAAATTGTTGCTACATTTTGTTTGCAATGCCATAATATCTGCATGACAAATAATGCTCATACTTGGTTCATAAATCATCTCTTATGCATAAGCATAACACATTTTTGGATAACAATTAAACTATTTGTTTATATTCATGTCCTTCCAATGGCGAAGTATCAAGTGAAAACGCTCATTTGATGAAAATCTGGAAACTCATCACATGGGCCATCGGATCAATAAGGAGCGACACAGATCTTAGGTGGAACCACCACCAGCCACTTAAACACGAATTAACAAATAACCCCTTCTTTTACGCACCAGCTCCTTGACGTTTCGACTATGATCGATTCGTCTTCAATCTCATCAACGGGATGGAGACTTGCCCTACGCTGGCCATGCCGGCGACCATAAACTGTCTCCCTCCGCCGGCGACGAAGAGCCCTCCGCCGGTCCTGAACTATTTCCCTCCGCCGGCCATGATCCCTGCCCCTCTGCTGGTTTTGAGTCGCCCTTTAGAAGATGCATCGACGCTGCCTCTCCAAGATCTTGCTGCACCTCCGTCCCCTACCATGCCTCAACCTCTTCTTAGCCCTGCACAAGTAAGCAACATAGTACAGCGGCATCTGCTTCATGTACTAATTGTACTTGTATGGCGTCATAGTCTTATTGCCACAACATCCTCATAGCCCTCCACCTGATGGTTCAGCTAGCACTAACTGAATCAAGGTAAAGTTGTCCTTCTTCAATTGTACTCCGTACTTCTGAAGCATCTGGATCGAGCTTTCTTGTTTGTTGTTTCGTCAGCTGCTGTGACTCCTGCTCGCCCAACATACACCCTTGCACTGACTTATGTGTAAACTTCCATCCAACACACACTTGCTTGTATTCAGAAAATTTTGTCTTGTACAAATTCTCAGATTACATCATTGGAGCACCGTTCAGACTAAATAAAGATAATCAACAATGCTTTCACGCTGAGTGATAACACCTCACAATATCAAAATTGCATTCAGATTTTTCGTCTCTACATCACAAGCTCGCACAACAAATCTGCTAAATTTGGTTGGAAGGAGCAACAGCCCATTCCTCACAGGGGAGCTTCGGCGAGGTGGACGCCTACATTGGCGCCGTTGGTAGCCCCGCTGGCTATGGCCTGATACCTTCGTAGCATCCACCCGGCGGCAGCGCCATGGTGGACGGCAGCGTCGTAGGTCGTCGCGGTGGGGGATGGCAGCGCCATCGGGCGTCGCGGTGGGGGCAGCCCCATCGTCTGTTGTCGCGGTGGGGAATGGCTCGGCTCCGCCGTAGGGGGAGGCCCCGTCGTCGGTCATCGCGGTGGGGGACGGCGGCAGCGCCATGTCTTCGCGGTAGGGAGCAGCCATGGATAAGGCGAGATAAGAAAGAAATTGTGGGAAGGAATATCCTACCCCGTGGGCAAGACAGGGGGTTATTTGAAAAGTAGCATAAGTGGCTGGTTAGCGAGCCCACTTCTCATCTGTGCCATCAGTTAAAGAGATCCAACAGCTCGGGTCGCAAGTTTCCAGATTTTCATCGAATCAGAGTTTTCACTTGATACTTCGCCCCTTCCAATAGCACACCTATTTCTTTCCTTTTGATAACATACTATTTCTCGCAAATTATGTTTTGGTATTATTTTTTGCGGTACATCCTTGCTTTGCAAGAACACCTGTACTACAAAAGTTTGGCTTTTCCATCAACAAAGACTTCATTACTAGGTCACATTGCACACAAACCATGAATATACCTTTCAAGTTTGGCTCAATAATGATGAAGAAGGTCTCCTATTTTGATGGGGACATTCGGAAAAGACCTTGCTAGGTGTTACTCATTGGAAGTCCGTACATAAATATTACATGATATAACGCAACCCGATCTTATCATCCATGTGGCCTTACCCGACAAGATCCATCCATGATTCATCCAAGTTAGTTTTCTTTCAACTTCTTGCATGTTAATCATCAGTCAGCAGTGTACCCATTGTGCCAGCTAATTAATATTTGTATTTGCAAATGGCAGCAATTTTTGATTTCCTTTTGTGGCTATGTTGCTACTTCTAACTTAATGAACGGTCAACACACACTACGTCTATTTTAACGGTCAAATGTAACATTTGGCCCTGACAGCTGTCCACCCATGTCATAATCGGGTTCAATTTGAGCCCAATTGATTACGAGTGTTTTCTGCGAAAAACTAAACAAAACGATAGGTATCGACGAAAAAGAATAAGTAGGTAGTTTTTTGAAACCCTAACCGTAATTGTCGTAGTTTTTTGCTATTTACCCGTGGTTTGCATGTGAATCGTGAATTTTGCATTCACGGAAGTATGCTTTCCTTACAAAGTTATACTACGAACTGGCACTTTCAAACAGCTACTACTTGTATTGTGACACAGATGCTGATAAGCTGCAGCATAGGCTGTTTGAAGCATAAAGTAGTTATGCATGGATGGTTATTCTTGTTGTGATACCCACTTGGAAGCTATGCTTTATCTGAACTGATGGGTAAGGTGGCATTTTTGTTCTCTGGATCTGCGAAGGTAGCACCTGGCATCTCTTTAAATACTACCTAAGAGATTTAGTTGTTCTAAGTAGAATCTGTACCATGGATGTGAGAAATTGATGCCTTTTTTTAGGGACCAACCGTCTAGTTCTACGGTAATTTTCTATTAATGAACTGAAAAGAGTTTACAATATGTACAAAACACAAACAAAAAAGAAGGTAGGCAGAAGCCTCTATCCTCTATCTTCTATCCAATGCCAGTTTTTTCTAACATAATGATACTAAGAGAAGGTTATGTCTTTCTTGCTATCTTGTACTTCCTCTTACTGCCGCAAAGCCAAGTTTGCAGTTTACATCCCCTGAAAGCAATGTCAGAGAACATACTCTAATAGGTTGTGCCAGAAATGGGACAGTTGAATGCTCTAATTTGAGAATGGTCCCCTTCAAAAATTTACTTTATTTGAGATTGGTCAATGTGGACTGGAATGGTCATATCATAGCCTGATGCCTCGTGGAAGTGGGTAGATAGAGCACGGGACATACATGTACAGGACACTGACTCAATGCACTTTTGGTTATGGTGATCATTATATGGAAAATGAGGATTGGTTTAGACGGACAAATGAAGTTACCTTGTGTGAAATTAAGGCATACACGCCTACGAATGTTCTTTTATAGGCTCCTAGCAGCATTTTCACTTGTGCGTGTCACTTGGATTCTTACAAAGGTATTTCTTCTCTCTTAGGCCACCCCATCCATGGGAAATGCTAAAGCAATCTCACCAAGCAACTCACTCCATTTTCTGAACCCTGCACACCATTATATATTTGATGAAGAACAGGATTGCATGCAACAAGTGACAAGGAAATCAAGAAGAGCTCAAGACCATGGAGGCACCAAGAAATCGCGGCGCGCCATGCCTGCTCCTTGTTCTGTTGGTTCTAGCTGCCCAGTGGTGCAGCGTCTCGACGGCGAGCTGCAGCTTCACCATATCCAACTACTGCACCCACACCATCTGGCCGGGGACGATGGCCGGCGCGGGCACGCCGCAGCTGCCCACGACGGGGTTCAGGCTCGACCCGGGGCAGACCGTGCGGATCCCGGCGCCGGCCGGTTGGTCCGGCCGGATATGGGCGCGCACGGGGTGCAACTTCAGCACGGACGGCTCGGGCGCGGCCGCCGGCGCGGTCGCGTGCCAGACCGGCGACTGCGGTGGTGGGCACATGGAGTGCGGCGGCACGGGCGGGAAGCCGCCAGCGACGCTCTTCGAGATCACGCTGGGGAAGGGCGGCCCCGCCGACCAGGACTTCTATGACGTGAGCCTCGTCGACGGGTACAACCTGCCCGTCGTCGCCGTCCCGCGCGCGCGGCAGGGCAGCTGCAATGCCACCGGCTGCGCCGCCGACCTCAACCTCTGTACGTGGCATATACTGTAGCATAATGGAGTATGAAACAGCTCTGCAGAATTGTATGCTCTGACACGTAAACGACAATCATGTTACTGCAGCATGTCCCAAGGAGCTGCAGGTGGCCGGCGGCAATGGCGGCGGCCCGGTGGCATGCCAGAGCGCGTGCGAGGCGTTCACGCAGGACAAGTACTGCTGCAGCGGCGCCTACGCGACGCCGGACACGTGCAGCCCGACGGCCTACTCCTCCGTCTTCAAGTCGGCGTGCCCGCGGGCCTACAGCTACGCCTACGACGACGGCAGCAGCCTCTTCACCTGCAACGCCGTCGACTACACCATCGCCTTCTGCCTCCCTCCAGCTGGGTAATCAATCAAGCTCTTTTTCAGTTCTTTTTCATTCACTTCAATAAAATGTATTGCAATTTGCAGCCAGTAATTAACTGTGATGGCTGAAATGTGCTTCCGAATTTCTGACGAACCAAGAACTGAGTAACTCACACGTGCCAAAGTTCGACAGATATGTACAGCTGAAATTGTGTGCTTTGAAATACTGTAAATTTGATGGATAACCCATGGTTCACACAGGTTGAACATGCCTGCTGATGCCAACAATGCTCCTCCTGCTGACAACAATGGTGCCGGAAGCACCTACGTGCCGCCCCCGACAGGCAACAGCGGGGCTGGAAGCATCTACCAGCCAACCCCTGCAGGTAACAGTGGCGTTGGAAGTGCCTACCAGCCACCTCCAACAGACAACAATGGCGTTGGAAGTGCCTACCAGACACCTCCGACTGGCAACAATGGCATCGGAAGCACCTACGAGACACCCTTGGCTAGCAGCAATGGCGTCGGAAGTGCCTTCCAGCCGCCCCTGATGGGCGACGACAATGGCGTGAGAAGCGCCTACCAGCCGGGGATGACCCCGTCGTCGGCGAGCACGCGATACGGTCAGCTGTGGTTTCTGATACCTGCAGCGCTCGTGTTCTTTAAATGATCATTCTCCATGAAAGGCCAGCCAGTGTTTCATGTCGAGCCGGCCTTCGAGCTTTCGAATACTTGAGGGATTGGGTGATCTTAGGCGCGGAAGAAAGAAGAGGCTCGAAGCAGAGTACATATCCAAGCAGAGATCTTGTAGGAGTTTCTGACAGATTCACAGTAGTTGCGACTTGAAACCCTTTGAAACCCTCCTGTATTCAGTAACTAGATAGTACTGGTGGTGCAAATTTGGGGAGATGTAAATATTGGCTTCTTTCATGCAGGCCAACAATGAAATCTACTAGTACAAATTGTATACTAATTAATTCCATTATTAATAAGGAAAAGTATGCTCTGTTTTTACGATTCATAGCTTTCAGGAACTTTAGCACTGCCGGGTGATAAATCTTCTCCTTTTCTGTAGTATTATAAGGTAGTTTGAATTGAATAGCCCTATCTAATTCTTGAGAGAAATTTCCCATCCCAAGAAATCTGAGGATAAGAAAAGAAGAAAAAAAAAAGCAACTAAGGGACTCTTTGGATAGCAGAAAACTGAAAATGTGAGAAATAGAAAATAATGCATAACTGGAATGTGATGACTTATGGATTCGTGCATGACTTGAAGCACAAGAATTTTTGCAATGATGCATACGAATGGATGACTAGAAAATAACACAGGAATTTCAGAGAAATGGGGAGAGTAGAAAGAGACACAGACAAAATGTATTGGACATCTCATATGAAAGACTGAATGAGACTTGAGCTCATGTCATACTGTATTTCCTATGGAATAGCGGTCACAGGATAGCTGGCCTGACCAAAATCCAGCAACCACAATTCTATGATCCGAAGGGCTCTTATAGGGAAAGAAATCATAAGGATATATCCTCTGAAGAATCAATGGAAATCCAACAATCCAAAGAAGAGTATGTAAAAAAGAATGGTCAGCTTTATTATATAAATTAACATTGTTACATGTAATGTAGTTTCATGAAGAAGGTACAATGATAGGAGCTGGACGCACTGATTTCTCTAATGGACAGCAGTCCCAGTTCCCATCCTTGTCCTGGGACAATGAGAAGTGCTTGGGCATCCACACCTCTCCCTTCTCACTCCTCTCCTTCTCAAGGCTCCTGGCCGTGCCCTCGACTTTCCGCTTCGCCTCGCTAGCCTTCTCCCAGTCCTTCGCCAGGATAGCCTCGCTGACTTCGCTCCAGACGACCGCCGACTCGGTAGATGACAAGCCCTGCCAAATTATCACCATCATTCATGAATACTACCCCTGTGCTGCTTTGCAAGTTTCAGCCATGCTGAACTGAAAGTGTACTGACATGCCATACCATCAGTGATCACAACTACAGACAGTGTGAAATGTTTTATTTTTTTGAATAAACAAGACAATGCAATCTATTTTCTTCTGAGTTGCTAGAATTTCACCTCTTCGTCTTTAACCTCCGGTGTGATGAGGTTCGCGATGGAGAGGTTCGCGTCGTAGAGAACCAAGACCTCCCCACTCTCGACATCCTTGAGCGAAACAGTCCTGTCCCAGTAGCCATCGATCTCGAAGACGGCGTCCTGCGGGTTCGATGAACGGAACACCTTGCCCTTGACGCACCTCCCGTCACCTCCCATTCCCATGAAGGAGTTGCTTCTGTGGTAGCTCAATTCTGCCTCGAGCCCGGAGTCCTTGCAGACGATCCTGACGGTGCCAGACCACTCGACGGAGGGCCCAGGAAGCAGCCTGATGAGAAGGTTTGGACAGCCCATCTCGTATGTCTCGTTGAACTTTGGAAGCCTGACTTGCCTCTTGCCGTGCACCGTTGCCTCTATGCTAGCACCTTCAGTGAAGCAAGTGAAAGGGGTACAGGAGTTTAGATAAGTTTGCATCCTTGCTTGAATAGCAACGTTATGCTGAAGCTTGGAAATCGTTGATCTGGTGGCCTACCATTAAATTTCGGCACTGGGTGTTGACTCCAGACAAGCTCCACGTTCCCGCCATCATCGGTAGCGTGAAGTGCAGAGACCGGGGGTTTATGACACACCTGAAAATGTTAATGTCATATGACCATTTTTTTTGAAAAGTAGTGCCATGTGATCATTCACGTTGTTGAGAAAGAGTATGTGTTTTTCAGAAAATGAGTAATTTTTGACAAGTTGGGTTGCCTGCTCAAGAAGGACATGGAGTGACCCTCTGGAGACATGGTGCGTCTCTCCGAGGACCGGGTTGTAAGGAGCGAAACCGAAGATGGGCGGCCTCGTCGTCGAGATGCTCCATGCGACGACCGCCGTAAAGCGCTCGAGGCTGTCCTTGCCTTTGCCGCATCTGCTCAGGTAGTCGTCTCCGTCGCAGTAGACTATTTCTCCGTACAACTGGAGCTGCGATTTTGGCAGGTTGAACGTAGCAGGCAGCTGGAAATGATCAGGCTCGTCAGTCATTTCATCAGTGAAGTAGTGTGCTCAAAACCTTGCGTGAAATAGTAATGCGGCGACAGTGAACATAGATCTTTTCTTTTAGGGAAGCAGCAGGACTCCGATGTGTATTTTTTTATTAATTTTCAAATAAATCATACAAAAGAGTAGTGTTCAACGAATAAAGAATAAGATAATAAAACAACATGTGGCACATTTAAATTGTAGAAAACTTTCTTACAAAATCATAAGAATTGTGAAGTACACCCATCAGACTTTCATGAATTTAATCTGGGAGCTAACCGACGATTTAGTGTCCCTGGAAAAGGACTAACCAAATCATTAGTAGGAGTGATCTCCACACCACTAACTAACCCCTAATAAGCTTATCTTGGCACATAAAGTGACATGACTCAATCACTCCAATTCTTAAACCATAAGAGAAGCTTCCATGTTTAATCATGTAGAGGTCCAAGCTTTGGGGCCCCATTTGGTTTGTTTCAAATCCGCGCGAATTCGTTGAACTTGTTTTTGTTGCCTAGCTGAACCCCACCTACTCCAATCAACCAGCCCTGATTAAGTGATTATTATAGTACAGTACCCAGCCCCCTGAATTATGCCGGATTCAGGGTAGTGCCTAGTGCCCCTAATCTTGGAGTAAGTAAACTAGCAAGTGAATTCAAATTTGGCTCTCGAGATCGGAGTCTCACATCACATGCATGTGCCTTGGATGGTTGATTTTGTAGGATCAATACACACATGAGAGTGAGCAGTAGTGGTGCTTGCTTTGTTTTTACCTGGAAGTGCGAGAGATCGGCGCCCGGCCTGACGTTCCCGAAGAGGCTGAGCACCCGCTGCACAAGGTTGGCCGGCTGGAGCTCCGCCGCGAGGCCCCCTTCCAGCGACAGCGGCGCGGTGAGCACCGCCGCCGAGGCCCTGGCCGTGGCGGTCTCTGCCGCCGATGCGTCGACCTCCGATTCAACCTGCATCCAATCAATTACAAACACAGTCAGATACATGTGGGCTCCAATTATGACGCTCAAGTGCTAACTGAATAGCAGCAGCAACCGAGACATGGCGGATCGCTCGTCGTCGCCGCCGTCGCCCCATGTAGGCTCTTGCTTGTTGCATTCAGGTTTCGTTTCCTTGGAGGGGGAGGCTCCAAGAAAAGTCCGGCCCAATCGTGTTGACCGATGAACGGGAGGGAAGGAACCGAAATCAAACCCGTGTGGTTGTCACTTGTCAGGCTGGCTCTGGGAGATGGTTTCCCCTCCCTCTCATGTGTCCATCTGCCGTCGAATATGTAGTAGCTTAGGTGTGTGTTTGTGCTTTATAGTAGATACTACTGGTGCTAAACAAAGTGGAGAAAAGAAAAGGTCAGTGCCGGCTGAAGATGCTGCCGCTGCTACTGGCCGGCCAGCCGAAAGCTGGTGCTATGTGTGTGTGTGTGTGTCTTGGCGTTGCGTTTACATGGGAGTGCACGCCCCCGACGCGGCTATGAAAAGGAGACGGGACGGGACGGGGACTCCATTTCGTGGACGAGACTTGCATGCTTCCCCAACGTGCTCCCATCCGTACTCCCGCATAGGTGGCATGATTTAATTGGAACAAGATAAGGCCCGACCCCATCCCCTTAAAATCAGTGATAGATGATTAGATTAGAAAGAAAAAGGAAAAAAAGACAGCCGTAGGATGAAGTGGGAGTATGGATGGAAGCATGGCGAAGGAGCAGGCAAGCCGGATCCCCATTTCGTGGGTGCCTCTTCCTCTTTCTTCGCCACAAAGAAAAGGAAAGGTGGCTCTCCTCTCCTCTAGCCGTCTGTTACATCGCGACCAAACGCACGAGGTTATTATCAAAGATCATTGCCCGCGGTATTGGTTTTGCCGGCGTCTATTGACTTTTTCTCTTCTGTTTTTTCAAAAGGGAAACGGATAATCACCTTTACCGCCCGGTAAAAGTACATGTGGAAGCGCAGAGGTGAAAAGGTGAATGCGGAAGGGGGGGAAGGAAATGGCACGACGGGACAAAAAGGCCAGGACGGCGGGCGGGGCCAGGGCCCAGGGGTAAAAGCATGGGCGATATTCGCTACCCTGACGTGGGCGCAGGCCACACGACCTGACGCTCGAAGCGCCGCCCCCCAATCTTCGATCGAGAGAATCTCGCGCTCTCGCCGCCGCCCGGCCATGCGCTGCCGCCGGCGGAGATTACGGAACTTGCTGAAAGAAAGGACGTCCAATTGAGAAAAGGACGTACCATGGTTGGTTCGCGTGAGCTCCAATCCCCGACGCGAGCCCTCCTTGATTCGATCCTCTCCCCGGCCTCGGCCTGCGGGTTGCGGATTTGCTACCCCTCGATCCTCTCGTTTTCGAGCTGGGTATGCTGGGTGCGTGGGCGGGTTGGAATGGGATCCTCGATGGGCGGGCGGGGAAGAAGCAAGCGGATCGCTGGATTGATCTCCTTCCTCTCTTTTTTTAGCGGGAGGCTCGGTGGCTCGCGCGCCTATTTATACACGCTCTCCTTCTTTTGAGGCCGCGTGCGTGCGGTGCTCGCCGCTGCGGCCGCGCCTTCCTTCCCTGAGGCTGAGGCAGAGGCAGAGACAGAGGCAGGTA